CACCAAGCCATGGGACGCAAGATAACATTCTAATTCTTATAAGCTGCACATCAAAGCACCCTTTAGAAGCAAATGTAAAAGATTGTAAAAGCAAAAGTGTCTTTCAACTGCTTTGTTCTGTTTGTTTTTTTTTTGTTTTTTTTTTCATAACACCATCCTATTTAAACTCACCAGTCTCTGTGGAAAAAAGAAAAAACTACTCTACACCTTGACATGATAGCAATTGTCCTGTGGCGGAGAACCTATCACGAGACATGCGAGTGGGTAACTCTCTTCAATATTAAGGTGCAACAGTAAAGCAATATTGTCTTGTTAGTAACAACTTAGAGTTGAAATATGGCTAGATTCCAGTGCTGGTCCCCAGGAGACCTTCTATTGATAGACAAAAGAGGCTATGACCTCAGACCTCACACAGATACTCTCCACATCTACAGACCACAATCGCACCATCATCCATCCACCTCCGTGTGTATATTTTTAACAACTGCAGGAATTGAGCAGGTTTTCTGGGTTTGTGGCCTTCGCCTCGTTTCTGTGACCGCTTACCTGCATGAAGCCAAGTTTCATTTGCAGACCTTTTCTTTAAAAAAATCCTGTTTCACAAGCTTTTCTTCACAGTTCTTGAGCCTCGTTAGCACAAGTAAAAGGATGGAAGAGCTTGTAAAATGATGCAAGAGTTCTGGTCACTACTACACGAGTTTAGCTCTCACTCTTTAGGCATAGTGGGAGGGCAGCTCCAGACAAATATCACAACTCCAAGGGGATTCCAGAGCAAATGTCAAGCTCCCCACCCAATCATGTTTTCACCTCTGGAGTATGATTCAAAATGGGGACAGCTGGATGCCGTGAGGACATCACAGAATCACAGAATGAATCATACAATGACTTGGTTTGAAAGGGATCTCAAAGATCATCAAGTTCCAACCCCGCAGCTTTGAGCAGGGTTGCCAACCACTAAATCAGGCAGCAGGTCAGGCTGCCCATGGCCCCATCCAAACTGGCCTTGAGCACCTCCAGGGTCTGGGTAACAACTTGGGGCAGCCTGTGCCAGGGTTTTACTGTCCTCTCTGTGAAAAACTTCCCCATGGATCCTGGAATATCTAAGACCATGCTGGAGACTTCCTTGTAGGGAACTGTCCTGCCTTGGAGCCGTCAGTCTGCCTGTGAGCTTGAGTGATCAGTGCTCCTACAGGGATTTACCTCATTTTAAAACAGATGTTTGAAACCATTCAAATGAATCACACATTCAAAATCTTTTATCCCCATTAAGAGAAATATGACTGGCTAGTTGCAAATGGCTCTAGAAGAGACATTTCATGTTATCAGATAAATCTCACCAAAGAACTACTGCTACAGCTATAACTACACGGTGTGGGAGGCCTGAGCATCCCAAAAGCTAGAGAGCCATTCAGAGAATCCCAGAATGGTTGGGATCAGGGGCACCCCTGCATCCCTCTGCTCCCCACTGCTTCAGCAGGACCACCCAGAGCAGGGTGCCCAGCACCACAGCCAGCTGTTTTGGGAGATCCCCAAGGAGGAGACCCCCCAGCTCTCTACTCCTTATTCCAGGGCTCCGGCCCAAACAGCATGGGAGAAGGGAACAGTGAAAATGAATTGGAATAATCCTACAGACTGTATCTGGCCCCACAGTGGTTCACTCTCCTGCAAGTCTGTCCTGGGTCTGAAATGTGCATTAAATGTGACATCCAGCAAGACAAGTGCCATCCTAATCACCACATCTCTGAGCTACCTCCACAGAACCTCCCTTGCAGGAGCTCTCTGAAACATAATTGGGTCATTTAATGAATTTTGTCTGGGTAGGCAAGACATTGAAGAGGCATTTGCTTTGCAAGTCCCTTAAACTCTAATTATCGTTCAAGTTACTATTGCATCAGGGCCTAACAAAAGGTTCTTGAGAAAGCAAGGAATTAGACATCAATTAAGGTTCATCAGGTCACGGAAGAAAAATAGCACACAAAAAAATAACACATGGGCCACTTCTAGTGTCTGTTCTTTAGCACTTGTACTCCATGAGCATCCGTTAATGCTAATGTTTATGACTAAACAGAACTATAAGTCAATTATAGATCCTGTTAGTGTTAATTCATGGTCAATCTATATATTTGTCTGAGAACAGCTTGGAAATAAGTATACAATAGATTTTTCTTTTTAAGTGAATAGATTTTTTTAAAGTACAAATACTCAGGAGCTCTTCTATTTTATCTTCTTGGATTACTATTGGAATACAGTCAGTGATCCACAAATTAGTTATGCTCTAGTAATACAGTGATGGCAGCTAGTGAAACAGTCTGAGCCTTTTGATTCATGACCTGTGCCACAGATCAGGGAGCATACCAAGTTTTATCAGTAGAATAAAACTTTTACATGACACTTTGGTGAAGATATCTGTGTGGCTCTGGTTGCTCATACAAAACCAGCTTGCTGCAATGGGGAAAATCCATCATGCAAGTGGTACGCAGAGTAAAGGTGAAGCATGGTAATCCTTTGGATCTAGATCAGGTCATGTGGACTTACAGCCTGTGGTCTAGATGCAACTTTCCCACCTTAGCCTAACTCTGGGCGTGAGCAAAGGCACTCTTCTCCCTTCTGTGTCTTTTTCCAGTACGTGGGCAGGACCTACACTTAGAAGCATGGACAGGAGACTAAAATATAAAAAGAGTTCTTCTTCTATCAACCCATCATCCAGAGTTTATCCAATCCCATCCAACAAACTCAAACCCCAAATCACAAGCAATGCTACTAATCCCTTCTGGGCCCCCCAGAATACAGATGTATGTTGGTGTGATAAAGTAAGGCTTCCCACAGAGCTGTCCAGAGAAGTCCCTCTCATTTTGTAGAGGACTTAGGCATTTTGAGATTTGGACTCTTTCATTTAACAAAGCCCTGTCTATGGAAAAGAATAGGTCGATAAATTGGACTTGGTGCAGTATGACTTCCTGCAGAGCCAATATCATGCTGGGACCTACTTTACCACTTCCTTATCTGACAGTCTACTATGAGCAAAACACTAGACTTCTGTACCAGCCTAGCAAGGCCAAAATCACAGAATCAGAGTCACAGAACCATAAAATCATAGAGTCATAGAATTATAGCATAGTTTGGGTTGGAATTATCATTTTGTTCCAACTCCTCTGCCATCTGGTTCCAACCTTCCCCACCCAAGCCCTATCAATGCAAACCATCCACCAGCAAAATACTTCCCCTCCAGAAAATTAGAAAACCCTGACAAGAAGTCATGTCACTGTTTCACCCCTGAACAGCCCTACTTCTAGCTTAGCATATATTCTAGTCTTGTTTTCATTATTTCAGGTTGCAAGTCATTTCTATCTGGCCAAACTTCTGCTAAAGTGGGCACTTGCTGGGTTATGAGCGTTATTATACATCCAATCACTCTGTTCTTTGACTGCTTGGAAAGCTCACATTTCTAGTTCATTTCTCAGATGACTCTAACATTATTGTAGATCAAAATAGTACCCTTGTCAGTTTTCTGAATGCAGCAGATTAGTTTTGCTGGGTACAAGTACTCTTGCAGTTTCACCAGCATAATTCAAATGCAGAACTTAAGGCTGGGCTGGGAAGTGCATTCTTTAATCATGTTAATGTTATCCTGTGGCAGTTTTCTTCTTACATTTTTGATTGAATTTAATGGAGGTGAAAGTCACTAGATGAATGGCTTCACAGGCAGACACTCTCTGGCTAATCAACAAAAATTATTTTCCAAAGTGGGAAAAAAAAAAATAATATCAAAGCACAAATACAGATTTTGCAAAGCAAAGCTTCCCCTTCTCTACCCAGCTATGAGCAATCCACACCCCTGTCCCTGCTGCCTGTACCTTCAAGTCAAGGGTCTCTTTGAGTCCTGGGTGTTATTTCCCTCAATGAAGGATTCCTACAGGACAAAGCTGTACAAGTTCAAGTGTCTGACTGTCTGCCCCTTTCCAAACACAGGCACATTTCTAAGAAAACCTTTGCTCAGTAGAGGAGAAAGGTCTTAGCCCTGTTCCTATCATGGTAGAGGCTACAGGGAGAGCACTCAGAGAAAGGGCTGGAGGTCAGACAGTATGAAAGCAAGGGGGGTTTTTTTGGCTCTCAGATTTTGACATCATTACAGCCATTCTGTGTGTGGAGCATGTTCTGAGGGCACATATTCTGTGTGAGGTTTCCCCATTTCTAGACATTCCACAGAATCACAGAAAGGATGAGGTTGAAAGGGAGGTCATCTGATCCAACCAATGTTTGTTTCAGCTCTCTCCCCTTAGTAGTCCTTTATATCAAATACTACTTGAGCTCCATAATTTAGCTTCAAAACTCCATCATCCCATATCACTAACCCACTGTAAAATGTAAACTAGTTAGTTTTGGAATGCACAGACAAACCTGCCATGCTATCTAAGGACATTTCTGTCAGCACAAAGACCAGTCTTTGAAAGATTTCTAACATTCATAGCATCATAGAATCATTAAGGTTGGAAAAACCAACAAGATCACCTAATCCAGCCATCAACCCATACCTTGACCACTCTAGAACATGTGTCTCAGTGTGACATCCACACTTGAACACTTCCAGGGATGTTGACTCCACCACCTCGCTGGGCAGCCTGTGCCAATACCTCACAAGAGAAAAACTAAACACTCCTGGACTCATTTTCTCACCCACTCTTTTTGCTTTGGCCCTCCTGGATAGACCTGCCTGTCTTCTTTCTGTATTGAACCTGGTAACAGAACAGTGCTGCCTGTACCAAGGCTGAGGAGAAAGCAGACCACACTTTGCTGAGTTCCCACCTCCATACAACCACCACCGACCTCCAGGAGCACCACAGTGTTTGGGTCTATGTGCACTTGCTGTACACCAGATAGGCAGGTCCTTGGCCTTTGAGCTTCTTGCCCTGGCCTAATGCAAAGAAACCTATGAAACCATGGGAAGCGTGGATGTCCCTGTGCCCTCACTGGCAGTGTGCCCACCCTGGGGGATGGTTTACCTGGCAGGATCCTTGCTCCAGCTCAATGCATAACATATCCTTTGGTAGCTTTGGTATCTGGTCCAAGCACTCCTCCCGGCTGATGAGCTTCATCTTCGCTTTCTGCAGCAGATGGGATGCTGACACTGCAGATGTTAAGCAAGTGAGAAGAGAAGGCTCATCAAACTTTACAGAACCTTAAGGAAGATGGGACTCAAAGATAATTTCTTAAAAGACAGAAATTTTTCATGCTACTTTTCCAGCTAACATGGAACCCCTTCACAGAAGCAGCCACAAATTAAAATGATTTAATACGGGAATCTCCAGGGAGGTGGCTATATGTCTAGCTGAGGTCTAATTGACAGCAATCAAAAGGGAGTCAGTCTGGTGACACTCAAGGTGACATTTCAGTGATGTCTACCTACAAAAGTCAAGAAAACAACCATGCTTCCATCCATGCTAGAACAACAGTTAATATATTTTGTATGACCCATGCCACACCAATGCACATCCCACTCGTTGAACTCAGCTTCTCCAGTTTTTCCTCTGAAACGTCTCCCAGGCAGAAGGGCTGGGTGCCAGGGCTGGGTGCACTAACTTCCCACAAGGTGCAGTTTGGATGGCAGAGGCAAACTCAGCCTGACCACATAGCAAAATGAGTCACACCATGCACTTGGCAAAGAGACTTCACTGCAGGTGGAATCCTGCCAGAATAATTTCGAAGAATTGCCCCTGCTTTTCTGTTTCTTAAGAGCATGTTACCTTGGTGAAATTGAAGACCCTCATAATTATAACACAGCTTTGGGTTCTGATCTACAGTTATATGAAGTGAATGAAGCATAAGAAAGAAAATGCAGAGGTTCAGAGAGGAGACAGTAACCCTACAGAGCAGAATAGCAAGGATGAAATGGGACATGAGCTCCCTGCATCAGGGAAGTCCTGTTAAAGCCCCAAGGCACCACTCTACCCACTCTGTCCTGATTACTTCTTTCCAATAATGAAATAGCTCATTAGCTATTTGGTGGTATTTGCTCAGGATAAGCATTTTGGGTCACAATCATTGCTGGAGCTACTTTCATTAGGGCTTGAATGGAACAATTAGTAATGGTGATCTACTTTTCCAAATATAGTATACAAAAAGGGGTAGTCAGAGCCACTGAATCAACGTGTTTAATAAAGGCATCTTGCCAAAGGCAACCTCGAATCTTCATTTCTCTTATTCAACACCACTTTAGACCCAACATAAATTTCCCAGCGTGGTTGGAAATTGCCTTACTTTTTCTTACTTATTTATAAATTTGCTCAGAAACTCAAGGAAGAAGGTTGAGTTCTTGCAAAGCAAAGTTGGGTTCTAAGATTTCAGCTGGAGCATACATGCTCACTGTGGGTAACCCATCCCAGAGGGAGAACATCTGCTTTAAGTGGATGAAAACCTCCATTAGCAAATACATCTCCCTGCAACATCTCACCTGAACCTGTCATTCCCCATCCAGCAACCCAGCAGTGTTGCCATGAACTGATGTCATCCATGTAGGGAAAGCAGATGGGGATTTTCTCATTGCTGAATTCAATGGGATAGTTGAGCATGATCAGAGCAATATCATGCTTCAAGGTTATTCTGTCAAAGTCTTCATGGAGGATCAACTTGCTTGGCTCACGTACTTCCAGTGGGAGGTCAAGGTCAATTGCTCCCATTACAATCTTAATATCTGGTGGCCTTGTGAACAGACAAAAAAAAAATAGTATATGCATGAGCATAAAAATATGCATAAAAATAGTATATGCATGAGCAAATGGAAAGGCATTGTGTTATAAAGGTTGGTGCCTCCTTTCCCTGAGCAGGGTAGGGTGGTTCTCTGCAAATAGCAGGGATGGGTTAGCTACAAATATCACAGAAATCAGCCCTCACTTCCAGGCAAAGCTAATTTTCAGGTGAAGCGGAAGAAGAGGTAGAAAGTGAATGCAAGCAAGTTCTAAATAGCCCAGCTAATGAACAGATGGGGAGAGCTGGGTGTTCAGGATAGCTGTGCCCAGGGCTGGCTGTTCCATGACCACACTGTTCCTTGTCAGTTGTTCCAAACTGTGGTGCCACAGGTCATTTGTCACTGAACAGTCCTGGCTCTTGGACCTGCCTTATTTTGGAGGGCTGGATTCTGCTTCATTGGGCATTGCATGGGTTGATTTGTCCAGAAACTGATGGATTAATGTCAGACTACCCATAAGATAAAGGTGTATGCTATATGATACCAGTAATTTGGGGCTTAGGATAAATTGGAGTGGAATATATCTCTTTTTACAAGGTACCCCAATATGTGCTGATGTACAGATTGGGGGGGAGGGGCAGCAGAATAACATAATGACCATTTACAGAAGGCTGCTCACACCATCCTTCAATATACCCGCCTTCTAGATCTTCTGGTTATGAAGATTTTTGCAAATTCCTGTTGCATTGCCACCTGTGATCAATAACTGGTCTTTTTTTCTTTCTCCAAAGAAAGCAAAACTCTCCGAGTTCTTTTCCTGGCTCCATCACATATATTTTGCACTTGATCCCAAGGACATACATCATGAAGAGCAGTGTTAGCGTTCCATCATGCCTGGGCAGTTCTTTTTGACCCCAAGTAGAGCAGAGAGAACAGAATAGAGTAGAAAGAATAGGATAGGATGGGATGGGATACAATAGGACAGGACAGGACAGGACAGGACAGGTTAGGATAGGATAGGATAAGATAGAGCAATACAATGCAGTGCAATATAATATTTGAGTTGGAATTGACCTACAATCATCTAGTTCAACTTTCTGATTTCTTCAGGACTAACAAAACAAACACATTATGGACCAGCATCTCCCTCCCCAATTCCCCTCCTCAGGAAGTTGAAGAGATCAGCAAGGTCTCCTCGCAGCCTCCTCTACTCCAAACCAGACATCTATATGTCCTAATCCTCTCCCCTAAGCCTCTCCCCTCCAGCCCTTTTGCTAACCTTGCAGACCTCTTCTGGGCAAAGAAATACTCACACTTCATCTGCAAAGCAATGGGCCGCAGTCAGGATCCACAACGCACTGATTATGCTGCCTCCACAGATATGTTTCCCATTGCTCTGGATGCTCACTTGCCATGGGAACTCTCCAGCTTTGGCATATCTCCCACCTGTGATCCTCTTGCCAGTCCACAGAAAGGACTCAAAAGATGGTCGGAGGCCACACTCTGGGTACAAAATAAGACGTACTGCTCACGTATGCCTGCAGCACTGCCTATGCTACTAAACTAGAAGGGAAAGATGTAGGTGAAAGCACTGATCCTTGATCATCCTTACTACTTGTTCAAGGAATGAGACAGGAGAACTGCATTTACCGTTGTGTGAGTATGCAGACTGGATCCCAGCCATTTTGACTGGCTGGTGACTTCTGAAGAACACATAAGCTCTGGAAAGACTATCTGCATGGATGCTGCTGATTAGAGAAGTTAACACCCAGAAAGTAAAGAGAAGCATTTTCATCCCACTCTTGGACCAATGCTCTTCACAATATTCAGGACAGTGATGCTTCCACAGCCACATCCCTCTGCTAGGGGCAACCAGGCTGTGATATCACACTATTCATTTGTCCCGCTGACATCACAGTTGGATGCTACACTTCTGTGACATAGAATCATAGAATCACAAGGTTGAAAAGGATCTACAAGATCTAGTCCAACTGTCAATTGAGGGAAAGTTCACACATGTGCTTTAGTTATGATAGAGATTGGTCAGTACTCCATCCTGGACTGAATTTCATGGAGTATCACAACAGTGGACTTCTTGGGCTGGGTGCTGTAGCCCTTCATTCTCAAAACATCTTTTTTCTCTCCAAAGACTTTATTTGTTGGTCCTGCATCGGTTTTCATCTTTGAGAAGTGCTGGAGCCTATCAAAATTTGAATGAATTTTCCCCTCTTTATGTTCAGACCACCTCTACATTATCAGAAGTCAGCAGCAGCTCCGTGGTAGGGCCAGGTTCAAACAGTGTGAATTCATAGAATCATAGAATCATAGAATGGCCTGGGTTGAAAAGGATCACAATGATCATCGAGTTTAGACTCCCCTGCTATGTGCAGGGTCACCAACCACCAGACCAGGCTGCCCAGAGCCATATCCAGCCTGACCTTGAATGCCTCCAGGGAATTACAGAGCCAAAGATGCTGAAGCAGCCACTCCCATTCTTCCAGAGAACTGTCTACAAGGGTGGCTTACAAAACCAAACCCAGCTTAGAAAACCAATCCATGAATCTGAATCATTTCTCCTATACTGATTTTATCCTCCATACTGTTTGTACCTCCAACAGCAACTGGAAGAGTTCAGGGCCAAAATTCCACTCCATTATTACAGTATCTCCATTAAATGAAGGGAGAGGACTCAAAAGAAGTCAGACAAGTTCAGACCTGAGCTCAGTATTAAGGACAGAATGGTGTTTTCTCCAAACACTTTAATGATGCAATAACTGCAGCAGAGAGTAGGGGATAAGGAAGGGAAAAGGACAGAGGAAACCAGGTAACATTTTATGAGCATCAGAATGATTCAAAATATGAAATATTTTGCCCTGTACATTGGAACAAACCAAGAGTTATCCTGCTCAAGTCTGAAATGCACCAAGGTTAAAAATGCATAGGAAGAAAGTCAGAATTTATTTTCCTATCTTTTCTTTTGCTTTTATGTCACCCCATGCCTAGGAAATTGGATGAAAGTGCAGGTTTCCTTGACAGTGAGCAACAGAACGATTCAGAGGTAACAACTAACAACAAATAGATGACCAGTTCCTATGGCAACTGGAAATTCCAAGTGTGATGCGGACACAATTTGGGGTGTCTCCACAAGGAGCCTAACATGGCAATCTTGCCAGTAGTAGCTCCTTGCAAGTTTACCCCAGGCATATGCCTCTTAAAAAGAACAGTTATCATTGAGCTATCCAATGAAATGGTGGCTCTGCATCCTCGCTGTCTGGCCCTCAGAACAATCTTTACGTGTTCCTCTGCCCAGAATTGCCACATCAAAACGAGCTCCTGCCAATTTTCCCCAAAGAAAAGCAAAGTTGATCCATTACACATCTCTGAGGATACACCAACGACACATGCCCTTCGAAAATAGTGATTTGGGCACCTTCCAAAATAGGAAACGAGAGGCTGAAGGCCACATCTCTCACCAGTCTGAGAAATATCAGAAGCAACAAGCTGTGTACGTGGAATTAACACATCCTCATCTTCCTCACTGAAGTTGTTTAACCTAAGAGCACATCCCATAGCATGTATAAATGTCTCAAAAGATCCTGTATATAGGATATCCCCTGCACCGTCTACATCTTTCAGCTGCAGCTTTTGGTCTTTTGAGATCCCCCAAAATGAAAGGCTTTGTCTCTTTCTGGCTGCTCTGTGTGCTATACATGCACTGGGGCAGACGCAGTCCCACATCTTATGTTTGCACAGCACCTACCATAATGATCTCTGATCTTAGAATCATAGAATCACCGAGGTTGGAAAAGACCTCTTAGATCATCCAGCCCAACTGTCCACCTACGAATATTTCCCCACAAAATCTTGTCCCTTAGTACAACATCTAAATGTTTCTCGAACACCTCCAGGGACAGTGACTCAACCACCTCCCAGGGCAGCCCATTCTACACCTGACCACTATTTTGGATAAAATTTTTTTTGTAACATCCAACCTGAATCTCCCCTGATGCAAGGAGGTCATTCCCTCTTGTCCTATCACTAGTTACATGGGAGAAGAGGCCAAACCCTACCTCACCCACAGCTTCCTTTCAGGTAGTTGTGCAGAGCTATAAGGTCTCTCCTGAGCCTCCTCTTCTACAGAATCCTCAGCCATTTCCCGTAATGCTTGTGCTCCAGACCCCTCACAGCTTTGTTGCCCTTCTTTGGACACATCCCAGGACCTCAATGCCTTTCTTGTAGTGTGAGGTGCTGCTGAGTACAGAGGGATGATCACTTCCCTGCTCCTATTGGCAGCACTATTTCTGATACAAGCCAGGATACCAATGGCCTTCTTGGCCACCTGGGCACACTGCTGGCTCATGTTCAGCCAAGCACTGACAAACCCCACCAGGTCCTTTTCCTCCACACAGTCTTCCAGCCAGCTACTCTGCCCCAAGCCTGTAGCGTTGCCTGGGGTTGTGGCCAAAGTGCCAGACCCAACACTTGGTCTTGTTGAACTTCATCCCATTGGCTTCTGCCCAACTATCCAGCCTGTTCAGATCCCTCTGTAGGCCCTTCCTAACATTCAGGCAGATCAATACTTCCTCACAAGTTGGTGTCATCTGCAAACTTACTGAGGATGCGCTCAATGCCCTCATCCAAATCATCAGTAAAGATATTAAACAGGACAGGCCCAAATACCAATCCCTGGGTAACACCACTTGGACCAGCCACCAGCTGGATTTGACTCCACTCTCTGGGCCTGGCCCTCCAGCCAGCTCCTTACCCAGAAAAGAGAGTACCTGTCCAATCCATGAGTATCCAGGAGAATCTGTATGAAGAAGCTCCAGGAGAACTGTGAGAGACAGTGTCAAAGGCTTTGCTGAAGTCTAGGTAGATCTTTCCCTCATCCACCAGACAGCCACTCCATCATAGAAGGAGATCAAGTTGGCCAGGCAGGACCTGCCTTTCACAAATCCATTCTGGCTGGGCCTGATCACCCAGCTGTCCCGCACACGCCACGTGATCTCACTCAAAATTATCTTCTCCATAATTTTTCCTGGCACCGAGTTCAGTCTGAGTGGCCTGCAGCTCCCCAGATCCTCCTTAGGAACCTTCTTGTAGACGGGAGTCACAGTGGCAACTCTCCAACCCTTTGGGACCTCTCCAGTTGACCAGAAAATCTTGGCGGTGACACCACCAGCTATTGAAGTACAAATAGCTAATCATGGGAATAATTATGTTACAGTACACCTAGCATACTCTGTAGTGTCATGCATAATGATACTGATTTTAAAAAGCCCTGGTGTTTAATTAGGAAGCTGCAGACTTTTTCTAATATTTGATACCTTTTCCAGATCTACCCAGACATATATTTAGAGCCATGGAACACACTGGAGATAGCATTTTTCTTTCCTGTCTTTGTAATTTATTGTAGTGCAGGAAACCAAATTGATTTCTTTTTGTGTTTGTACATTTTTTGGAACTGTCAAAAGGAAGTATCACATTACAATTTTTACTTTTTCTTACTAAAATTGCTTCAGAAAATAGGCACTATAGGTGGTATTACATGTTGCAGCGGAAGTGGAATTGTGAGAGAATTACTGATCTTCTAAATTCATCATTCTCAAAGACATCAAATTACAGGGTTGTGATAGCTAAGATGAGCTCAGCCATGTCTCCAGAAGTCAAAGCTAAAGCATGAACAAATTCATCAGTCCAAGAAAATAAGTATGCCTATAGATATTAGCTATGCAAAGTGCTTAATGGGTACAGACACACCATAATTCATCCCTTTAACAGCATTTCAAGCCAAATTTTAAGAAGTTTCTTTCCTCTCTAGATTTCAAGCTTACAAAGAAACCAGGGAACTGCACAGAGCAAGAAGCTGCATTGGCCAGCAAGCAAAATTTCCAAATCTCCTTGGCTTTTAATGTCAACAAATGGGAAGCTGCTCAGATTACAGCAAGCCATCCCATTGGGCATCCCAAATCTTGATGTGCTGATGCTGTGGGTACCGGAACACCTCTCATTGTTGTCAGCCTTTTCAGAACAACCCGCTGGAACAAAGCATTGGTGCCATGAGCACAAGCTATTTCCCGATCCCGATTGGGCAGGAAATCCCCGTTCCCCCGAGGCCACAGTATCCATTGGGGTTCTTGCTGAGGTACTGCTGATGGTAATCTTCAGCGTAATAAAACTCTGGAGCCTCCCGGATTTCTGTTGTGATGGCACCAAAACCGCTTTCTGTCAATACCTGTCAAGAGACAACACGGAGATCCATTAGTGGTTCGTTGGCTTCCCTGCTGATAAATGACATATGGTTTCCTCTCAGAAGGAACCACAGGCATCTCTCAGTGCCTGGACCACACTTTGAGTACATCCCTGAGAGCCCTTTATCCTTGTAATTTCTCTAGGAGAGGTTGTGGGCACCAAAATATGTGTCGGTGAGAAGGGGCAGTGCACCCTTCATTTTTAATGGCGCATTTGTTTAATTTGCTATCGCCACACATTTGTTCTCTTTATCAGCCACACCAGGCAGGGATGTGGTGCCATCAATAAAAGTGGAAAAGAGAGGTTGGTAGCCTTGCAGGTGTCCAAGGACTTCACTTGGCCAATGTCTCAGTTCTGAAATACGCTGTTCAGCCAATTGTGCCAAGAAGAATTTTGGGATCAAATTTGAGCCCCACTGACAATATAAGAACATTCAGGCTCTTTTCACTGTCTCTGCAAACCCCTTCTTCAAAATGGATGATTCCATCATGAACAGAAAAGTATTTTTTAGGCAAATTGTGTCTCACTTCTGAAAGAAGATCTGCCAGTGAGTGGACCAGTAGCAGTAATCACTTTGCAGGGACAGGAGAAGGAACGTGGGTGGGAATTTCAAATTAGACTTAAACTTCTTTCTGATATCCCTAGCTGAATTTGAAACTTCTGGAGGCTTTCTGATAGAGGAAACTTCTTTTTCATATGAATTGCCATGCCATTTTACCTACTGAATTTCTCATTTCTAAGGAAATTGCTAAGCACCAACCTTTTGGAGACAGTTCTCATCTCATCTCAATGGGAACTGCTCATTGCAGTCCATGATAATCGTATAAGTACTTTAATTGGTGTCAGACAAGTGTTTATTGTTGTAAAGTATATTTCTAAAGCCCTGGACATTGGTAGATCTGTGTTGCTGTCAGCCAGAAATGACAGCAAGATGGGTTTTAAGAAGAAAGCATTAGCAGATAAGCTGATTACCTGGTAAATGTGTGCCATCTCATCATACTGACAATAAAACCAACAAAAGGAAGCCACCACACAATGTCATAAAACCAGACCTGGAAGGGCCTGTAGGAAGTCATCCAATCCAACTTCCTTCATCACAACACAGCTCAGAACGGCCAGCAGACATTTGTCTAACTACTTCTCAGAGATCTTCAGGGATGGACATCCTTTGGGTTCCTCAGCATTCCAGTATTTTCCATCCTGGTCTAGCCAGGATTAAGCCCACAGCTTTCATTTAAACCCACTATTTTGGTCATACTCATCATGAACATGGAAAGGAAATCATTCCCTTTCTCTTTCCAGTGGTCTCCTACATCCCTGGTCACTGCCCAGAGAGAAGGATGGCAAGTCAAGAAAGTATGTAAATAAAGCATTAGCAAGTATTTAAACATTAAGAGGTGATTACTTGGGGCCAAAGAGCCTTAAAACACCCTACAATAGGGTTTCTTAGCTCCTGCCTCAGTAGAGCAGAGTACTGATACCATTCAGGAGTTAGCTGCCAGACAAGGCTGACACCAGTCCAATGCATTCTGGTAATTTCACTTCCAGGAGACACATTTGGCTGCATTCAGCTTTCTGCCAGGGGTTAAGTAATAAGATTACAAAATCCACGATGGACTTGTCTGGGGAGCCCTTTGATTCAAAACCTGACATCTAAATTCTCAGTGCAGATAAGGAAGTTGTGGACTAGCTAAGCAATGTTGTGATCCCACATTTGAGCACAGAGATAAACAAGCCCTATTTCACAGGACTCCAATCTTGTTTTCCCACGTAAAATCACTGAACAATATTTTTCATCTTTGGGACGGGTTTTGTCCCAAGGGAACCAGGCTATTTACGTGCCAGATGTATTAGCAAAGAAGAGAAAAACATGAAGTCCTGTATCACAACAGGTTGGCAACAACTAACACAAAGAGATGTCAACACAACTGCTTTAAGAAAGCAATGTTTCACTGGCTTCCTAACATTTCTAGCAAAGAAAAGCACTTTTGACATTATCTTCACTGCAGAAAGATGGCACAGGCTCTGTCATCATGGGCATTAGTCATTTACTTGCTGCTGAAAATGCTGCAAAATTGGCTTCCCCCTTGTCTGAGTCATGAGGACGCTGCTGGAGGGATGGATATTTTTCTACTGTGCAAAACAGTATTTGTTACAGATTTTTACCTGGGACTTTTCCATCATTGGCCTCATTTATTTTATTTTTTTTTTTTTCAGTTAGAAAATCCATTCTGTTCAGTAACATACCACGAGGGGGCATAAACATCATTTATCCCTTTCAGAATTACTAACAGCCTATTAAAACGCTGCACGCTGAATAGAGCAGAAGCCCAAGACAACTCATTATATTGCTCTTTGGTCATTAGCAAAAGATACCAGCACTGTTGTCAAAATCAGCGGGAACCCCAGGCTCCGGTGCTTTGCCAAACACTACCTTGAATGTTTTGATTTTAAATGGGAAAATATTTTCCTCTCACTGACTGTGTCAGTGCAAAGATAAAAACATCACTGGGAAAGATGATGAAGTTCATGATGTGTTGGCTCTGGCAGGTGTAAATCAGCACACTCTTGATTGATTTCCTGCCGCCAAGGCAGATGTAATTTGACAATAATCCTGTTCTAGCAGACTTTTTGGTCCTCGCTTTTTAGTCCACACAATTCCCAAGCTATTCAGTGTGAGCTCCCAGCATCATGTGGCAGCCAAAAGGGCTGCTGCAGCTTTTGCATGCAAAAATGGGAAGAATCGAGTGAAAGAGAATGTAATTCTCTTATAGCATCTCCAGGGAGCTCATAGAAGCCCCCTCCTTGGAAGCATTTAAGGCCAGGCTGGATGGGGCTGTGAGCAACCTGGTCTGGTGGGAGGTGTCCCTGCCTATAGCATGGGGTTGGAAATAGATGACCTTAAAGGTCCCTTCCAACGCAAACCATTTTATGATTCCATGATAAGATTCTATAATCCACCACTGGGACCTTTCACAGAGTGCAGGAAATTTTTGAAGTACTCTTGGATCGTTTTTCCCCCAGATATCCCACAGTTAAAATAGAACTAATTCATTAATATATTCAAGGGACTTCTGTGGCTTTCACAACTCAAGAGATCACAGTAGAAGAGCACAACCATCCCCTATCTGATTACAAGCCAGTCCCAAAAAACCTTGCAGGTTTTAGAACAGAAGCCAAATCAAACTAGAACCCAAGTCCTGCCCAACCAAAATGGATGAAGAGAACACACTCAATTTGATGTTTGAGGTCAGTCGTGGAAGACAAAAGCCTTGGAGCCTGCATTGGGAACCTCAGCACTACCACTTCTTTAAACAACTTGTACTTCTGGAATGTGAAAGGTTTTGTTTGATGAGTTTTCTAATTTATTATAGCCTGCACAAGTGTTTTTTTTTCCTGTTGTTTGCTTAAAACTTGTTGCCTGGCCATGTCATTACACAGAACAGCCTCTGCCACCAAAAATAATTCTTACTTGCTCTTTGCATAGTGACCTTGATTCTCTGCCTTCATCCTGTTCATTCATCTCTTCTGCAGGCTGAGGCTGTTTAGACTCCCCACTCATAACTCGGGTCAGCCTTCTTGCCCTCTTCTGCATCCTCTCTGCTTCTATTTTACCACCTCATTGAGACGGGGCGACTGGAATTGCACTCTATTCAAAATCATCACGGATTTACTCAGTGCTGTACTTACATTTTCTCTTTCATTCCCCATCTCCTTCCCAGAAATTCTTTGCATTCCGCTTGCCTTTCTGACCTCTGCTCAGCACTGAGCAGACGTTTTCAAAGAACCATCTGCAATGGCACCGGGACTTATTTCGCGGGTTAATTTAAACCCTATCATTGTGTCTGCACTTGACTTTTATCAACATGGAATTTCAGCAGCTATTTTATTGCACAGGCATTTGATATCGTCAGATTCTTCTGCGGCTTTTTGTCGCAATGTCTACTTTTGCTTACTTGGAATAACTCTATGCCATCAGCAGATTTCAGTCCATCACTGATGACCGTCTCCTTTTTTCAGTTCTTTTATGAGGATATTGAACTGCACCAGTTCCCAGGACAGATACCTGGTAATCTCCTTTCATTGTGAAAACTGCCCTGTTATTTGTATCTTTTATTTCCTATCTATAACCAGTTATTCAAAAGAAAAACTTTCCTCTTAATCCTCAGCAGCTCTCTGCCTTTTTCTCAGCTCATCTCTTCAAAAAAGCGTATCTGCAAGACACAAGTTGCCTCTTCTAAAGTCACGTGGACTCTTCTCTGAAATGCCGCAGTCTGTGCATGTCCATCAACTTCTGATACCCAGCCTGCATTGCAAAATGTCTTTAATTCTGCTGGATCATCTCAGAGATGCCCACCTTTCAGCCCTTTGGTAGCAGGTCTAATCTAGATCACTGTTTACCTACAACGCTGGTGTGGAAACCCTTTCTGATTTATGTTCTTTTCCTACCTGTAGCCAACCACCATCTATGTGCACTGATGAGCAGCTCTACCATGAATCTCTTTCGTAGCTTGAACCTGAGACAGTTTCTCCAAATTGTCATCATGACACAATGTGGGAAACCCCACATTCCTCAGTTGTGAATATGGACGTGAGTAATTTTGCAGCTTTCTTCTACGGTGTTATCTGTGTCATGTCTTCTATAGGCAGATCAAGCATCCACAACCATCAGTCAGTCTCCAGGACTGATATATAAAATACTCAACTTTCATAAGGAAAACACATGAGTGAACTAGTAGTGGTTTTGGACGCATAGGCTCAAAACCACAACGGACTCAAACCCTACTGTTTTCCCATTTGCGCTATGCCAGTTGGTTCTCCAACCATCTGTTACCCAATCCAGTACTCACAGTCCCATCTCAGCTGCAGTGTGAGGTGCCCACGATGTGCAAACACAGTTAGACAGATTTTAAGGGACCTCCTACTCTTTGGCATAGAAAGTGTCATCTTCCACACGTTCTTACTGCCTCACTCAAGGCCTAG